TCCTCTGATGCTGCTTGGAGCCTTCCTGCTCCTCTGATGCTGCTTGGCCTGTTGTGTTCATCCAGCTCTACACCTTGTTATCACAGATTCTCCAGCATCTGCAGTTCCTACTATCTCTGGGAATGTTGTGGTTCACTGTGAGAGCCATCACCATCCCACAACCCCCTGCCCCCCAACACACCCCGCTTCCACCATAGCTCCCCATCTCCCTAATCACCAGCAAACCCACTCTCCCCAGCTCAGACTGCAGTAATAAATGCTGGTGTTGCTGATTACAGTCACATCCCACAAAAGCCAGCCTCATTAGTGTTGGACACCCTGACAATTCCACATTACAACAGTGACAGCAATTCAGAATGTACTTAATTTGCTGTAAGACCCTTTGAAAAGTCCACTGGTCCTGAAAAGTGCTATATAAATGTAGATCTTCAAGTTTTAAAACATTCAATTTGTAGTGCAGAACTTGAACAGAAGATTGCATTTTCACAGTTTTTCATCTTGGACCCATCAGAATTAAATGCAAGAATAGCAAATTAAAGCAATTGCAGCAACTTTCAGGAGAAAAATGATTATTTGTGGTCAAATCAATTCTGATTCCCTTCTCCATTGCAACATCTCAGCCAATGAGATACTATAGATTCCCCACACTCCCAGGGAATTTAAAAATTGGTGCAATGCTTGAACATTTTCGTTTTGCTTGCAGAGAACAGGACCGAAAGTTTGCCATTCATTTCTCTGTGGCAAACCTTTGGCCAAGCAGAATCAACTTACATCCAGTCAGCACAGTTTCTTTTCCCTGTTGTGTAAATTTTGTGATTGAAATTTGGCGTTCATGCATTCATCCTGATGTGTGTAAGGTGAAGAGCTACAACATGTCTCGATTTATTATATATTGTCTTATCGATAGAATATTTGATGATTTTGGAATTTCAGGTGTTGATGGTGAGGTTGGGGTTTCAAGCAGTGACTCTCACTACCAAGGCTACAGCTCCACAAAAGAAGAAGAAAGTTAAGGGTAAGGAATGTGAATGTTGTCCATAACTAGGGATTGTAGCCTCATACTGGGCACTTGAGAGACCCAACAAGAAAACATTTGGTATTATAAATAAAGACCTAAAATAAACTTGCCTCCCCTTCTCTGCCAACACACCATGCAGAATATTAACAGCATTGCGTACTTCAAAAGTTAAAAATAAGAGACACATGGATGTATGAGTTTTTTCTTGTACAGGCACCTATGTGAAATCCAGACCGTTTGCCTGGTTACAGGCCCACGGCTTATTAGTTACAGGTTAGTGACATGGAGCTATTGGCTCAGGTTAATTGTTACTGATTAGCAGTCTGGAGATACAGATTATATTTTGGATGTTGATCTACTTTCGATTTTACAAATGGAGACTTTTTTTGTGGGATGTGGGGCATCAACAAAAAGCTTGGCTTCTCACACCTTCTTTAAACTTTCGCCTTCTCTGCAGTTTAATACAGCTAAATGGCTTGCTGGGATATTTAAGGGACACTTCAGAATCAAACACATTGCTGTGAGTTTGGAGTCACTTCTAGGCCAGACCAGGTAAGGGCAGAAGATTTCCTTCACATAAGGTAGACCATTTGTTTTGTTTGGGCCTCTGGATGAACACTGCAGTAACGTCACCATATTGAGTTACTGGCTCTCACCTGTTTGTTGTGATGTCAGGCAGTGGGTAGTGCCATTCTCCATGGACTGGGTTTTGTTTATTCTTCATACATTCATTTGAAAGGTGAAGAAAGTGTACATTAGCACTTAATGTGCCCATTCCGCCTTTGGGACTATTCTGGTTCTTTGAAAGAGCTCTTTGTCCCTAGCCATGTTAGTTCATCATCCTCTAATAGCTCTCCAACTGCCTTATGGAATTTATGAGATCAGCTTCTACCAGCAGGCAGCACGGTGGCTCAGTGGTTAGCACTGCTGCCTCACAGCGCCAGGGACCTGGGTTCAATTCGACCCTCGGGTGACTGTCTGTGTGGAGTTTGCACATTCTCCCTGTGTCTGCGTGGGCTTCTTCCAGGTGCTCCGGTTTCCTCCCACAGTTCAAAGATGTGCAGGTTAGGTGGATTGGCCATGCTAAACTGCCCATAGTGTTCAGGGATGTGTAGATTAAGTGGGTTTATAGGGGGATGGATCTGGGTGGGATGCTCTGAGGTTCGGTGTGGACATTTTGGGCCAAAGGACCTGTTTCCACACTGTGGCGATTCTATGATTCTGACTCTTTTCAGGTCTAGTGCTCCAAATCTGACAATTCTTTGAGAGGAAAGTTCTCTCTCCTCTCTAGATCTTTTTGCAATGATTTGAAATCCATATCTCTGGTTATTCCTGGACAGAATGGATTGTCTATCTTGTTATGATCCCAGCTGATGGGAATACTGGATGAGTCAGAACTCTGTTCCCTTTCGGAGGCTTTTACACCTTTGCTGAAGTGTGGTGTAAATTAACGTAATACATGAGCTGAGGTGTAACTTGTGATTCATAAATTTCCAGTACAATCTCTTCACTTTCATATTCCATCCTTCTATTTACAAACACAGCTAACCCTTATACTGGTTTAATCACCTTACCCTTCCAGCTTTAAAGATGTGTGGTCAGGGACACTAAGGTCAGTCAACTCATAGAAATGATACAGCACAGAGGGAGCCATTTGACCCATGTTGTCCATGCCGATCCAAAGATACCCAGAAGCCCTTTCTAATCCCACCTTCCTACACACCACCCATAGCACTGCAGCTTACATCACTTAAGGTGCAGATCTAGGGACTTTTTGCAACAGTTTAGGGTCTCTGCCTCCACCACCAACTCGAGCAGCGAATTCCATGCACCCAACACCCTCTTTGTTTAAAAAAGAAGCTTTTCTTCACTTGCCTTCTAATCCTGCTGACACTTAGCCTGAATCTATAACTCATGTATAAAACAAAGAGCAGGAGTCCCAGCACTGAGCCCTGAGGAACATCATATGAAACAGCTTTCCATTGGCAAGGGCAGCCATCGACCATTACCCTTTGTTTCCTGTAACTAAGCTAACTTTGGATCCAATTCGACACATTACCCTGTAACCCATGGGCTTTTACGTTTTGGTCCAGTCTAGCTTGTGGGATCTTGTCAAATGCCTTACTAAACTCCATGTAGACAATATCCACTCCACTACCCTCATTGATCCTCTTGTCACGTCCACAAAGAATTCAATCAAAATTTGTAAAGGTATGACTTTCTCTTACAAAGCTATGCTATCCCGGACTAGCCCATGCCTTTCTCTCATGATTGATTCTAACAATTTGCCCACCACCGAAGCATATCCTATAATTGTTTGCCATATCCTTTTTAAATAATATATTTGCTTTCCTTCAGCACCTCACCTGTGTCTAGTGAAGATTGGAAAATAATCCTCAGAGCACCTGCTATTTCCTCACTGACGTCCTTCAACATCCCAGGGAACAATCCATCCGGCCCTGGCAACTTTTCTACTTTCGAGGATTCCAACTCCTCGAACATTTCCTCTTGTGTTATCATGTTGTTCAATATTTCACACTGCTGCTCTTGGATTATTATATCCACATCATCCCTTTCCTTTGTGGAGATGAAAAAATCATCTAAAATTCTTTCCATCATCCACTGCATCTTCACACAAGTTCCCTTCTTCATCTCTGGTAGGTCCCACTTTTTCCTTGACTATCCTTTTGCACTTTATATACCAGTAAAACATCTTTGGGTTTTCCTTGGTCTTGCTTGCTAATATTTTTTCATGTCCTCTCTTTGATTTCCTTATTTCTTTTTAAACTTGATCCTTGTACTTTCTATACTCCTCCAGGCTATCTGCAGAGTTGAGCTTTCTTTTTCTGTTTAATCTTCCCCTGTATTTTTCTAGACAACGTTGGGGATCTAGATATGATAGTACCGTTCTAATTTCTGGAGGGGACATATCTGCTTTGTGCCACAAGGATCTCACATTTAGCGCCTCCCCCCAGTTTACCACTGATTTATCCTTTAGCAGTCCTGTCCAGTCCACCTCAGCCAAATCATTTCACAGTTTTGTAACATTTACTCCCCCCACCAAGTGTAAAACCTTTCTTCCTGATTTATCTCTGTCCTTTCCCACACTAATACCAGCTCTAGCCGAATTGCAGTCACTATCCTGGCACGGTCGCACACTGTCACTTCACCCATTTGTCTATCTTCATTTCTCAAAACTAAATCTAGAATTGCATCTCCTCTCATTGGGCTTGTCACATATCATTTCAGAAAAGGTTCCTGGACACACAATATGAATTTTTCACCCTCAGTGCCCCTTATATTATTTGTAACCCAGTTGCTGTTGGGATATTTAAAGTCTCCTGCTGTTCTTGCCCTCTTATTCCCATAGGCAGAAATGTGTCTACATGTGTGTTCTTCTATCTCCCTGTCATTATTTGGGGCTGTGTAGTGTACTCCTAGTAGTGTAACTGCCCCTTTTTTAATTTCTAAGCTCAACCCATAAAGCCTTATTTGTTAACCTGCTTCGTATACCACCCCCCTCCCCGAATAACTGTAATTGATTCTTTAATCAATACAGCTACCCCTCTCCATTTTTGGCACTCTATCCTGCCTGAAAACTCCATTTCCTAGGATGTTGAGCTGTCAATTTTGTCCCCCTTTAACCAAGCTTCTGTTATAGCAACAACACTGTGCTTCCATGTGTCTACCTGTGCCTTTAACTAACTGCCTTGTTTGTAATATTCCTCGTCTTGAAGTTTAAACAGCTTAACTTTGTCTGTTTTCTTTGAGCATAAGTAGGAGCAGGAGTAGGCCATTTGGCCCATCGAGCCTGCTTCGCCATTCAACAAGATCATGGCTGATCTTCTCATGGACTCGGCTCCACTCAGTCACCTGCTCACCATAATCCTGAATTCCTTTACTCTTTAAAAATCTACCTCTCTTTGCTTTAAAAGTATTCAATGAGGCTGAACTGCTTCACTGAGCAGGGAATTCCACAGATTCACAGTCCTTTGGATGGAGAAGTTCCTCCTCAGCTCAGTTCTAAATCTGCTTCCCCTTATTTTGAGGCTATGCCCCCTACTTCTAGTTTCACCCGCCAGTGGAAATAACCTCCCTGCTTCTATCTTATCTATTCCCTTCATATTTTAAATGTTTCTATAAGATCCCCCCTCATTCTTCTAAATTCCAATGAGTATAGTCCCAGTCTACTCAATTTCTTCTTAAAAGGCAACCCTCTCAAATCAACCTCGTGAACCTCCTCTGCACCCCCTCCAATGCCAGTACATACTTTCTCAAGTAGGAAGACCAAACTGTACACAGTACTCCAGGTATGGCCTCACCAGCACCCTATACAGCTGCAGCATAGCCTCCCTGTTTTTAAACTCCATCCCTCTAGCAATGAAGGACAATATTCCATTTGTCATCTTAATTACCCACTGCACCTGCAAACCAACTTTGTGATTCATGCACAAGGACACTCCAGTCCCTCTGCACGACAAAATGCTGCAATTATTCACCACTTACATAATAGTCCATTTAGCTGTTATTCCTACGAAAACACATGACCTCACATTTACATTTCCTGGATGCTTTTTAATCCTTGTTTCTACATTTTTCTTAGTCACTAACTACATCACAAACTAATGTGTATTTCCTGTTTCCTTCTCTGGATTTGGTTTGATTTATTATTGTCACATGTACCTAAGTACAGTGAAAGGTTTTGTTTTGTGTGCACAACAGGCAGATCATAACATACAAAGATCATAGGGTAATTGAACCGAATGAGGAATACAAAGTTACAGCTGCAAAGAAGGTGCACAAAAGGCAAGATTCACATTAGATTTGAAATTTGAGAAGTCCATTCAGAAGTCTAATGACAGCAGGGGAGAAGCTGTTCTTGAACTTGTTGGTATGTGTGTTTAAGTTTTTGTGTCTTCTGCCTGACAGGAGAGGTTAGCAGAGATTATAATCAGGGAGGGGTTTTTGATCATGTTGGCTGCCTTTTCACAGCAACAAGAAGTGTAGATGGAGTCAATGGATGGAAGGATGGCCTCCATGATTGTCTGGGCTGTGTTCACAACTTTCTGTACTTTCTTATGGTCCTGGGCAGAGCAGCTGCTGTACCAAGCTGTGGTGCATCCAGATAGAAAGCATTCTATTCCTATTCCCATGCCATACTCATGTAAAACTTTACCAAAGGAACTAGGAAAAGCACCTGCAAGGATATTTGCCCCAGCTCAGCTCAGATGCAACCTGTCTGGCTTGTACAGATCCCACTTCCCCAGAAATGGCCCCAATGCCTCAACAATCTAAATCTGGTACCCCATTTTTCTAGCTATGCATTTACCTGATCTATCCTGTTATTCCTGCTCTCGCCAGCCAGTGGCTCTGGGACGAGTCCTGACATTATTGTACTTGAGGCCCTGCATTTTAATTTATCTCCTAGCTTCCTATATTCAGATTTCAGGTCCTCATCCCTTTGTTCACCTGTGCCATTGGTGCCAACGTGTACCGTGATCACTGGCTGTTCATCCTCCCATTCCATGATGTCCTGCAGCCGCTCTGTGACATCCGTGATCCTGGTACCAAGGTGGCAACATACAATCCTGATTTCACGTCTGTGGCCGCAGAAGCAGCTGTCTGTACCTTTTACTACTGAATTCCCTATCGCTATGGCTGTACTGCTCGTTTTCCTCCCCTTCTGTTCAGTAGAGCCACCAGCAGGGCCCTGAACTTGACTAAAGCTGCTTTTCTCGAAAGTTCATCCCCCCCCACAATAGTAGCCAAAGCTCTATATCTGTCTGAGAGGAGGATGGCCAAAGGGGACTCCTGTACTTCCTCCCTGAGTCTCTTACTTTGTCTTATGGTCACCCATTCCCATTCTGCCTGTGTAATCCTCACCTGCAGGGTGACGATCTATTAAATATGCTATCCATGACATTCTCAGCATCGCGGATGCTCCACAGTGAGATCCACCCATGGCACCAGCTCTGAAAAAGCCATGAGCCAGTAGTTGCAGCTGGACAAGTTTCTGGTAGTCATCAGGGACACTGGAAACATCCATTATGTCCCAGTTTGCACAAGAGGAGTGCACGGATCTGAGGTCTCCTGTCATGACTCCTCTCTAAATTAAGCTAGTTACTCCCTTTTAGGGGAATTTAATTAAGTTAGGGACCTTCCTCTGTTTCAAAACACCGATTACAATTGAAAGTCCTTACCTTTATTTAAGCTAATATATTATGCTTCAAAAGCTGTCAGAAAATACTCTGCAGGTAGTGTTTACCAGTTGGCTGTTTGTTTTGGGACAGTGTCACTCTCTGAACTGTCCACACTGAGATTGAGCACCACACTCAGTTTTTCAGCTTCACCTACTCCCTGTCTCACTAAACTCCCTGTTTTCACCCAACTCCGAAGTACTCTCGGGGAGGCAATGGCCTAGTGGTATTATCGCTGGACTATTAATCTAGAGACCCAGATAATGTTCTGGGGACCTAGGTTCAAATCCTGCCACAGCAGATGGTGGAATTTGAATTCAATAAAATATCTGGAATTAAGAATCTAATGATGACTGTGAATCCATTGCCAATTGTCAGAAAAACCCATCTGGTTCACTAGTGTCCTTTAGGGAAGGAAACTGCCATCCTCATCTGGTCTGGCCTACATGGTGACTGCAGACCCACAGCAATGTGGTTGACTCTGAGCTGCCCTTTGGGCAATTAGGGATGGGCAATAAATGCTGCTTGGTCAGCGACGCCCTCATCCTGTGAATGAATAAAGAAAAAACAAGCAGCACTCACATGCAGCAAGTCGCACTCACCTACATTTATTGTGCATCATGCTTCATATCAGTCCCCAGCAAGGAAATAGCTGAGCACATCTCCAATTTCAGTTCTGAGGAAGGGTCACCGGACCCGAAACATTAACTCTGTTTTCTCTTTCACAGATGCTGCCAGACCTGCTGAGCTTTTCCAGCAACTTTGTTTTTGTTCCGATTTCAAATCCATCTGCTATTTTTCTGCTCCTTTCATCACCTTGTCTATGAGATCGTCAAGTCTATAACTGTTCCCTTCTGTTGAATGTGTTACTAAGTGTTTAATCAGCTGTAGACTTTGTAAGGCTGCTCTCAGTGGCTGAGTCTAGATGGTCAGAAAAAGGTTCCAAAAACTGACCCTGGAGGATGTCAATGCCATCCAGCTGCTAGTCACTAACTGCAGCCTCTGCTTCCAGTTGCCTTGGACCTTCATAACAACTCTCCTCTGTGGCACTTTGATGAATACCTTTTCCCTCATAGCCTGCCTCTCTCTCTGTCTTTCACACTCTCATGCTGTCTCTCTCTCTCTACCTCCCCTCTCTTTTCCCCTCCTCTTCCCCACCCCCCCCATCTCTCACCTGTATACCCCATCTCAGCCCTTTGCTGGTGTCATCTTGCTCATTGCGCTCTTAGTTCCCAGTCTGCTCCAGGCTCTGTCTTTGTGCGGCTGTGCTGATTGGTGCACTTACAATCCAATCTGTTGCTTGATATTAAGTGGATTCTGCTGCTACTGCGTAATTTTGCACAAAATTCTCCATTCTTTTGTTACTGATTGTGACTTGCAGATTTAAGGAAACAGAATGAAGTTTTTTGTGTTTGAGCATTTCTTTGATGGCAGACTGACTGATCTATGGTGGTGGCAGTGGTTTGAGCTGGACTGCTTCAGTGTGCTGACCATTGCCCTTCACTCTCTGTCACACAGGAGCTGAGGCTGCTGAGATCTCGAGCAGAGATTCCCCCATTCAATCGACAGAGATAACTAGCACAGAGCGAGCAAGCCTCTTGTCCAAGAAAACAGTGCTGCTCTTTCCCAGGAAAATTCCTGACCCCTTATTGGGAGAGGCACTCAACTCCACAACCAGCACTCCAGGAGGTGATGTGTGTTCAGTAGCAGCCAATGCAGAGCCTGTGGCTGAGAAATCAACAGCTCATGAAGAGTCCAGCTCCAGCTCTGACTCCAGCTCTGACTCTGATGAAGAAACCGTGACTAAAGATGCTGTAAAGACTCCAGCTGAATTTTCAAAGCCTGAACCTGTGCTGAGTGGTGCTGACTGGACAAGGGAAAGGGCAGAGGGGGACCGAGGAAGACTGGTTACAGAACCACAGGAATTACCTCAAACTGTCAAAGTGCCAGTCTCCAAGGATTCGACTCGCATGGAGCTGAGTAAAGGGGAGGGGAGAGAGATACTAGCTGCACAGGGGAACCATGACTTACTAAGCAGTGCTGCCTGTGATAGGGCTGAAGCTACAGTAACAGCACCAGAAGCAAGCTTTCTACCAAGAAACACTTTAAGAACTCAAGAAACCACACCAAGCAGCCCATCAAGAGAATGGGTTCTCCCAGCACAGGGGGAGAGTCAAGAACCAACCGAAGAGAGAAGCCCAGAAGCTACTGACCCAGCTTCAGCTGACACACCACATGGTACTCCAGTTTAATTTCACCTTGAGAATGGGCTCTGGGCTCACTGTCTGTAGTCAGCATCCATAACTGGACAGAATTAGAGACCACCTCGTACATGCTTTTAAAATACTGAGAGGACAGGCAATCTTTAAAGTGACAGTGAGCACAGCTAGAAGATTATTGTAGAAACAAGCAGCCACGAGCAATTTAAGACCAGAGAGATATGTTTTGGAGCCTCTTGAGTTAATAGAACATAGAACAGTACAGCACAGTTCAGGCCCTTTGGCCCACGATGTTGTGCCAAACTTTTACCCTAAAACTAAGGTCTATCTAACTTCCACCCCTACCTTATACTACCTTAATGCTGTGCACATTAGCACCTTCACAACATGAAAGGTCACAGCTTTCTGAGCAGCAATAGGAATGAGTGTGACAGGATCAAAGGTCAGAAGTGAAAGCAAAATTCTAGTGAAACTTGGGTCAGACCACATCCGTGGAGAAAGAAACAGAGTTAACATTTCAGGGCTGACCTTTCACTTGCATTGCCGAGTGAGGTGATAGCCAGCATCACAAGGGGGAGGCAATGGCCTTGTGGTATTATCTTTGACTGTTAATCCAGGGACCCAGATAATGTTTGGGGGACCTGGGTTTGAATCCCGCCACAGCAGATGGTGGAATTTGAATTCAATAAATATGTGGAGTTAAGAATCTAATGATAATGATGATTGTCGATTGTTGGAAAAACCCATCTGGTTCACTAATGTCCTTTAGGGAAGGAAACTGCCATCCTTACCTAGTCTGACCTACATGTGACTTCAGACCCACAACAATGAGGTTGACTTTTAACTGCCCTCCAGGCAATTAGGGATGGGCAATAAATGCTGCCTGGTCAGCGATGCCCTCATTTCATGAATGAATAAAGAAACTCAGGATGTACACTGTCAGATGTTAGATGTTTTATTTGCTGATCAGAGTAAACTTTCTTGAGAGTGGAATTTCTTTCAGTGGCGATTTGATTTGATTTATTGTAGTGTAAGTGCAGTGAAAAGCTTTGTTTTGCAAGCAGTACAGGCAGATCATCAAACAAAAACATACAGATCATGGGTGTTTAGACAAAGCGAGGCATACAAGGTTAGGAACACCTACAAGATAGGAACATTATAAATAGCTGGGGAGGGTGGGTGAGTGAATAACAATCAGAATAAGAGGCTGTTGTGTTAAACTCACAGAAACCACTGGTTTGGGCTCAGCTGCAGTGTTGTGTTCCGGACGTGGATACTACTTCCGGAAGAATATGAACATGTTAGAGAGAGTGCAGTAAATATCCACCAGAATGGTTCCATGGCTGAGGGGAGTTCAGCTTTGTACAAAGACTGGATACGTTGGGCCTGTTCTGTTTGGAGAATAGAAGGTTATGGGGAGGTTTGATCAAAGTGTTCAAAATCACAAGAGGTCCAGACAGAGGAAATTGGGAAAAACTGTACCCATTGGTGGAAGGATTGAGAACAAAAAGTCACAGGTTTAGTGTAATTAGCCAAAGAAAGCAAAAATGCTATGAGAAAAAACTTTTTTAATCCAGTTAGGGAATAGGGTCTGGAATGTACTGTCTGAGAGTGTGAGGGGGGCAGGTTCACTCGAGTGGTTAGGGTCTGGGATGTACTGTCTGAGAGTGTGGCGGGAAGGCAGATTCATTTGAGTGCTGTACCTTCTTTCATATTTGTTCATTCACTTACTGAGTAGAATTTTGCCAGCCCGGAGGAGCCTGGTTTTGAAGTGGAGGGACCAGGACAACTGGGGAGCTATGTCAGGAAGTCTTCCCTTATTCTTCTCATCACATTTCTGATAACAGTGAGTGTTCCCATATGCTGGTGTGAAGTGGGATCAGTAGGCGGCCCTATTAAATAGCCAATCTGGGGCAGAAACCTCTTTACACAGTGGGTGGTTCAGATTTGGAGTGTGCTCTGTGAGTGTGTGGTGGAGGTAGGTTCAAGTGAGAAATTGAAATGGGAGTTGAGGTAATGAGGAGAAGCTGTGGAACTGGCACTACATGAAATGTTCATTTGCAGAGCCGGTGCAGACGTAATGGGTTGAATGGCCTCCTCCTGTGATTTGGGGATTCTTTGTGGAGACCAGAAGTTCAATGGAGGTGGTCTCTAAAGGAGGCTACAGGGCCACCGTGCTGCATTGATGGAAAGGTTACAGTAGGAACCCAAAACAATTTCCGAGGAATGGTTTCCCTTCTACTCTGAGGGGCCTCATTGTCTTCATCTTCATACATTCCAATCTGTATCCAGATACCTGAAAACACCTCCATATCGGGTGACCTTGAATCCGAACCTTCTCTGATGGGGATATCAAAGCTCCTGTGCTCTGCTCCTCTAATTGAGCCAGCTTGTGTCCATTGGATTGCAAACGTGGAGGTGCCCACGTAAGAGGACACTGGGGACCTGTTACTGGTACGTCTGGGCTCAGAATCCCTAATTGATCTTGATATTGAGGTCCCAAATCTCAAAGAAAATTCTTACCAACTATTGTCTAATAGGAAGGTCTTGCAAGCAGAGTGAGATGGATCATGGTCAGATTGTCAAATCACTTGAGTGTCAATCAATGGTACTGAGGTAAATTAGAGAGATTCAGTCTGCACCAATGTATCTGAATGGAATACTTAGGACAACATTAAATCACTGATGAACAAAACGTGATAACAAGAACATAGGATGTAGGATCAAGAGTAGACCACTCAGCCCTTTGTGCCTGTACAGCCATTGTCTGTGAATTTGAATGGGGTGACAGACGGAGCTAAGGTACCCGAGTGGGGTAATGGACTGCACTGATATATCTTGACTCCCTCTCAGAAAGGCTACAACAGATACAGGCATGAGACAAAGAAAGTCACTAGTCCTAGACACTTTTTCAGCCATTCTGTTGATGGTTGTATGCTACTCACTCTAGAAGGAATTGTAGCTGAACTAGCCGAATGTTCATGCACCAACATTGACAGCAGAGCTCAGTGTGGAGTGATTGGTCTCGTTGTGGAGTGTCCAGTTTGAGACAGATAGTGACAAAAAGATCCCCTTTCATACCCAGGATATCAACCAACCATCCAGGAGTTTGGAAACTCTGGGATAAACTTGGAGGTTGAGATTCTCTGGGAGGTGGGGAGATGCTGGGAGGGTGGCATACACTGGGAGACGGATACTCAGAGGTGGGGAGACACCAAGAGATTGTGATATTCTCAAAGATTGGGATACAAAGAGACTGTGAAACACCAGGAGACTGGCATACACTGAGGTGGGACAACTGTGGAAGACTGGGAAACACCTGGAGACACTGGGATACACAGGTGTAAAGACTGTGATAGACATCAGGAGACAGGGAATACTCAATGACTATAATGAACATTTTCTCAATTATTTTTGTTTTGTGCAGAGTCAGTGGGAAAGCGTGTGGAGGAGCCTGATCACGAAGTCTTGGACACTTCCACTTACAAGAACACCCAGCACCATGATTACAACCCCCTAACCTTCATAGATCTGGATGTGGACATGGCAAAGTACAGATTACCCCAACCCTCCTCAGGAAGAATAACCCCTCATCACTAATTCCTCGCATATTGTGTTGTCCCTGATGCTTCAGTGTGTCCAGAACCTGAGATGGAGCTCACCACAAATAAAAAAAAAACAAAGCTCACCTTCACAAATGTGTGTAATACCAACAACCCTTCCCCTGGTTTATTACTTTACTGCATATCAGTGAGTGAGCACCTCCTCCTCTGCCTGTACCATTGTTCACTGGCAAATGTAAGACTCTTTCCTTAGGAAAGCAAATAGAATTTTGGCCTTTATTACTAGGGGGTTTTACAACTCTACACCATGTTGATGAGGTACTTGGGGTACTTTACCCAGTTTAGCTCCCTGTATTTAAAGCAGGATGTACAGGCATTGGAGGCAGTTCAAAAAAGATTCGCTCAGCTATTTATCAAGGACAGCTGAACAGGTTAGACCTTTATTCATTAGAGTTTATAAGAGTGAGGGACAATCTTATTGAAGCGTATACAATTCTGAGGGCGTTTGATAAGGAAGATGTTGAAAAAATGTTTACATTAGTGGAACAATCTTGAACTAGGGGATGTAGTTACAGCATAATGGGACATTAATTTAAAATTGAGATGGAAGGAATTTCTTGAGTGAATGTCTGGAATTCTTGAAATGGAATTATTGTAATATTGGGAGTTGAGGCTGTGAGGAGCTAATATGAAAGAGGAGTTGAGATTTGGGGCGGATCAAGCATGATCTTATAGACGGTGTAGTAGGCTTGAGCGGCTGATTAGCCCACTTTGCTCCTTGTGTTATGACATGTGCTATGATTGAGAGCCTGTGACAGAGCCTGATTTCAGGTGACAACTTCAGATGCAGACAGTTTGGTTGGGACTCACCAACCAACCAACTGCTTTCATTCCCAACCCCTCCCTCATATAGGCATGCACACGCACGAGTGCTCACACGCCCACCCCTTGCTCCCACATCTAGTTCAGGCCATGAATGAATCCTGTGGTTGTGCCTTTTCACTGGGAGGTTTGAGCCCTGATTGTGGTTACATTTGGGAATTGTGAACAAAACAGAAATTAACTGAAAACTCAGTTCACCACTGAAGTGAGTAATAAGCCTTCCCTGTGACTGAGATCTTGAGTCAGACTATGTTCTGCAGCCAGACTAGAGCTGGCTTTGGATAGCAGTGCCCCTGTTCTTCGTTTTGTCTGGTGATTTATTCCTATGGTGAGGAGATTCTCTTGTTGGAGATGGTCATTGTCGGACATTGCTGGGGACCTCTGGAGTACACTTAAGTTGGATCATCCACTTGGCGCATGTCTAATTTAGTGTGTGTGATAAGTTATATATCAGTCTACAATATCCAGCGCAAATCTAACAGGGAGATTGTAACATCAATCAACAAAGCATTAATCTAATGTAGAGACTGTAATGTCAAAGACTCCAGCACTGAGTGAACAGAGAGACTGTAGTATTGGATGATACAAAAGTTGAGAAAATATTAAACTGTTTGGCCAGCCAAATAGTAGGTAATGTTCATGCCAGACAATGATCATCTCCAGCAAGAAACAGAATCGAACTATTGCCCAATGGCTTTCAGTAGCATACCATCACTGAATCCCTGATTGTCAATGTCCCAGAGGTTAGCATTGAGCAGAAACAGAACTAAACTAGCCATACTCTGACCAAAAGAGTACGCCAGAGCTAGGAGTGCCCGATGGAAAGGTGATGGCAGAGTGGTATTGTCATTTGACGAGTGATCCTGAGACCTAATGCTCTAGGGACTGGGGTTCAAATCTTCTCATGGTAAATGGTGCAGTTTCAATAAAAAAAAACCCACTGTTGATCATCATAAAATACATTAGTTCACTAATGTCCTTACTTGGTCTAGTATGTGTTTGATTCCAGACCCATAGCATCTGAAATGGCTAAAAAAGCTACTCTGATTACCAAATTATATAAAGCATCAAAAAATCCTACCGTCCATTTGGCTGATAAATCACCAGGTCAATCAGTACCCTGCCTCATTGCAGCCTTGGTCCAAACATGAATAAAGGAGCTGAACTCCAGAGGTGAGGTATTTGGCTGAGTGTGGCATCAAGGAGCCCTTGCAAAGCTGGAATCAATGTGAAGAGGTCACATCTCTACAACAGCTCATCAGGCTAGTGCCCTAGGCCCAACCATCTTCAACTACACTGATGATCTTTATCCTAAGGTCAGAAGTAGGGATGTTTGCTGATGATTACAAAATGTTCAGTACCATTTGCGACTCCTCAGATACTGAAGCAGGCCATGCCCAAATGTAGCAAGATCTAAGTAATAACATATGAATGAACAGCAGGAGTAAGTCATTCAATAAGATCATGGCTAATCAGATTGTAACCTCAAATCTACATTTCTCCCCCTTACTTGAAAAGAATCTATCCACCTCTGTCTTAAAAAATGTTCAAGGAGTCTCCCTTCACATCCTTTTCAGGAAGAGAGTTGCAAGATTTATTGGTCTCTGAAATAATTTCTCCTAGTTTGGTCCAAATGGGTGAGCGCTGATTTTTAAACAAAAGACCCTTAGTTTTAGATTTCACATAGGAGGAAATATCCTCTCCACCTTCACCCTGTCTAAACCCTTCATTATTTTAGAGATAGCAGGAACTGCAGATGCTGGAGAAACTGAGATAACAAGGTGTAGAGCTGGATGAACACAGCAGGCCAAGCAGCATCAGAGGAGCAGGAAGGCTGATGTTTCGGGCCTGGACCCTTCTTCAGAAAATTGAAGAATTCCTGAAGAAGGGTCTAGGCCCGAAACGTCAGCCTTCCTGCTCCTCTGATGCTGCTTGGTCTGCTGTGTTCATCCAGCTCTACACCTTGTTCCCTCATTATTTTATCTGTTTTGTAAAGTCATCGATTACTCTTACAAACCCTAGTGGATACAGACCTACCCTGTCCGAACTTTCTTTAGAAGACAACACACTCTTTCCAGGTATCAATCTCGTAAACCTCAGAGTGCCTGTAATGCATTTACGTCCTTCCATAAATAAAGTTACCAATAGTGTACACAATACTTCAGGTGTGTTCTCACCGTGCCCTGTATAACTGAAGCATAACCTTCATCATTTTGTATCCAAAATCCTGGACAATATGTCAGGCAGTCCTGTGGCAAGTAACATACATGAAAAGTGCCAGACAATGGCCATCACAAATGACAATCTAACCATCACGCTCACTGATTCAATGGTGTTATAATCACTGAATCCCCCACTATCAACATCCTGGGGGTTACCATTGACTAGTGCATGGAACTGAAGTAATGTACATGGATAGAGAACTGGTTGGGAGACCAAACAGAGAGTGGGAATAATCGGGTCTTTTTCTGAGTGGCAGCAAGTGACTACTAGGGTACCTTAGGCATTACTGCTTGAATCCCAGCTATTCAAATGTGTATATATATATATAAATGATTTGGATGAGGAACCAAGTGCAATATCTCCAGGTTTGCAGATGATGCAAAGCTGGGTGGGAGGATGAGCTGAGAGGAGAATGCAGAGCTGCTTCATTGTAAATTGGAGAAGTGAGTAGGGCAGTACATAGTAGATGAAGTATATGAGGTCATCCACTTCAGAAGCAATGTCATGAAGGCAGATGATTATCTGAATGGCTATAGATTGGGCAAGAGGGAGATGCAATGAGACCTAGCTGTCCTTGTGCACCAGTCACTCAATGTAAGCATGCAGGTAGAGCAGGCAGCCAAGAAGTCAGAGATAGTAGGAACTGCAGATGCTGGAGAATCTGAGATAACAAGGTAGAAATTTCTGAAGAAGGGTCTAGACCCGAAACGTCAGCTTTCCTGCTCCTCTGATGCTGCTTGGCCTACTGTGTTCATCCAGCTCTACACCTCATTATCTTAGCCAAGAAGTCAAGTGCTTTGTTGACCTTCAAAACAATAACATTCAAATACAGGAACAGGGATGTCTTGTAATTATACGGGGCCTTGCTGAGACCACGTCTGGAGCATTGTGTGCAGTTTCAGTCTCCTTATCTGAGGAAGCTGCTCAAATTGTGGAAAGAGTGTCACAAAGGTTTACCAGGTTGATTCCTGGGATGGCAAATCTGACATATGAAATGAGAGTGGATTGGTTAGAACTATATTCAGTGGAGTTTAGAAGAATGAGGGTGATATCTCATATAAACTTATAAAATTCTAACAGGACCAGACAGGGTAAAAACAGGAAGGATATTCCTGGTGGCAGGAAGTCAAGAATCAGGGGTCATAGTTTAAGGATTTGGGATAGGCCATTTAGGAATGAGATGAGGAGAAATTTTACCCAGAGAATGGGGAGTCTGTGGAGTTCTTTGCTGCAGAAAGTGGTTGTGGCCAAAACATTGAACATTTTCCAGAAAGAGTTGGGTATAGTTTTTGGGGCCAAAGTGATCAATGGGTATGGGCAAAAGTGGGGACAGAGTCCTGAGTAGGATGATCGGACATGATCATATTGAATGGTGGAACTGGTTCAAAGGGGAGCATTGCCCACTCTAGCTTCTATTTTCTAAGTTATAAAAACAGGAATTTACTGGGATGGCTGCTTAATTTCACAGTGATATTGTGAACTTGGTCTTTGTAGTTATGGCTTCCTGCAATGTGCAGATGAACAGGAATGGAAGAGTTGTTTACAAGAGAAGCTGATTAATTCTCAGTTAACAGAGGAGTTTGCAATTGGAGTTAAGTCACAGAGACACAGACACAGCGAGAGAGAGAAAAGGCACAGAAGTGTGTGCAGTTGTTCTTCCCAGCAGAAGCTGCCTAATCTCTGCAGTAAGAGAATACTTAGTTTAAATGAAAAAAAAAGTTGCCTTTCCTGCAGTGGTTGTTGTCATTTGTAACTTTTGAATTGATAAATCAGAGACATTTTCCATGTGAATCACAAATATTGGAGATCACAGCAGGTCAGGCAACACAAGCTTGCTCTCTCTCCATGGATGTTGCCTGACCTGCTGTGATTTCCAACATTTGTTGTTTTCAATCCAGTTTCCAGCATCTGCAGTAATTTGCTCCTTCCAGATGAATCAGTTGCTCTGTACTTGCAAACCAGTGGAAGGTCCGGGTGAAAGACAAGTGAACACCAAGGGTGCAGCTAGCTGGAGAAGGAAACTCTG